CAGACATGGTGGCAGTCCTGGGGGAGACCACGGGCTGCCTTGCCCTGCCCAAACTGCGGGACAAGATGAAACACCACCCTGAAGGTTACCGCATCCTCCAGTGCGTCCCTCCTCATCCCTGCCTCCCTCACCCTGTGGTTCGTGGTGGGGAGGGAGACACAACACCAAACACATTCCTTGGGCCTCATGAAGGGAGAGCCCTGCGCTCCCTGGCTTGAAAGCAGCACAGATGTTTTGTTAGCTCTGAGCTTTCAGGTTGTTTATTTTACTTTATTTTTAACGATCACAAGAGCCCCATGGTGAGTCTAAGGGCAAGAGCACAGCAGCCGCTGGGCCCAGCCCTATTTCAGGTGCTGCTGTCTGTCCGTTCTGCTTCGCTGCTGGAACTGGCAGGTGCCAACGCAAGGAGATGCAGCAGCAGGCAATGGGGGAGAAATCCATGGACATGGATGCTGAGCAGCAGTGAAAACCCATCACATCCATGGATTTCTCCCTTGCTCTTGCTGCTGCATCTCCTTGCATGGGAGACTTCATCTCCACTGGTCTGCCTCCTCCTTAGATACCTCCGTATTTTCTTTCCCAGCACCCACAGCATCTCCCCAAGCTGTGAAATGAGGCCATGTCTCTTGTCTTCCCTGTTAAGATTTGATCACTTTTGTTTCCGTGTTGGCAGGGACTTGTTAAGCACAGCAAGGCTGAGGACCAGGAGGCACTTAATGAGTCTCTTATTAACCAAGATCTTACTGCTTACTTGCTTGCCTTCTCCTTGCTCCTCGTTATCTGTCCTGCCTGCCGCTTGTGTATTGTTTGGGTTGTATCACGTAGGGGCTGGGGGAAAGCTGCCTTTTGTCATACATTTGTGCAGAGCAGCCTGATCCTGGCTCTGGACGCTGACCCAGTAAAGCACATGGAGCACCAGGATGGGGCTGAGACCCAGAGGAACTGTGCAGGGAGAGGTGACAGCAAAGGCATTGAGGGCTGGGGAGAGACGTCCCCACCTGCTCCTTGCCCCATGGTATTGCAGGGATTGGCAGTGGTCCGATTTGTGCACACAAGGTTTTTTTTTTAATCCCCCAAGCTGCTGAGGTCCCTGCATCTGCAGCCAGGGTAAAGCGATAAGTGAGTCTTGCTTATCTCCCTGGCGCCTCCACTCCAGGAGCTGAGCAGCTCCTGGATCCGCTGCAGGACTATTATCATGGGAAGAATTTATCCTGTGCAGGGAAATAAAAGGGCTTTTGTTTAGTTCCAGGGCTGTGGGGCACCTGTTTGCCAACAACCTGGAGAGGAGACCTTCCTGTGCGTGGCTGCCACGTGGCTGGTGGCAAAAGCCTGAGCAGGAGAGAAATGAAATTTGTGTTTAGAACAAATTCCCTCCCCTCTTTAAGGTGGTTCCTTTGAAGCTCTGGCCGCTTTGCAGGGGCACTAAAGAGCTCTGCTCCCCCAGGGCTGGCTGTTGCTGGGGGCTGTGCCTGGCCAGCAGCCAGAACGACAGCGTTTTGGTGCAGAGGACACTGGTGTTTTACCATCCAGAGTTTTACAGGGACGCAAGATGAGAGCTCTTCTATTGTCAAGGCTTTAGGTAGATCCTTTAAGCTATTTGTGTCCCAGCCTCAGCAACAGAAATAAGGACAGTGCTATCCCTGCAGCGGGCAGTCAGGATTGGTGCGAGGAAAATGCCCAGGAAGGGCAGAGGCAGGGGATGGGGGTTTCCAGGGGCTCCTTTTCTCCAGGACCCCCCTGCTGTGGGTTTTACTGGGAGACTCACTGACCTGTGTTTCGCTTTCAGGGAACGGCCTCGCATCCGTCTCTCCACCCTGGACATGGCCAGGCTGCAGGCGCTGCCAGATGGCTCGCTGGGCCGAGAGTACGTCCGGTTCTTGGAGGACAATGTGAGTGTGGGGCTTGGCGGAGTGTGAGCGGCTGGAATTGATCCCTGTGCCAGGAGCACAGATGCGCTTTAGAGGGAGATTGGAGCCATGGAGGGACCTGCAGGGAACTGTCTGGGAATGAGAGGGAGTCGGGGGGACGGGATGAGATGCTGGGTGTTGGATGATGCTGGATGTGTCACCAGTCCTGTGCAGTCCTTGGGTTTGGTCTGTGTAAATGACACTGACCCCCATAATTAGGGGCTGGGAGATGTGCTGATGGAGGGGACCACGTATTAATGTTCATTAAAGAACGAGACCAGAAACTTGAGGTTTGGAAAGGGCTGAATTGGACGTCTTTGAATTTGCAGAAGGTTTCTCCAGACACCCGGATGCCGCCCAAGTTTGTCGATGATGAAGAGCTGGCGTACGTGATCCAGCGGTACCGAGAAGTCCATGACCTGATGCACACCCTCCTGGGCATGCCAACCAACATGCTAGGTGAGCAGCAGCAGGCTCAGAGGGCTGTGCTGCCAAATGCTGCTGATGCTGCTTGGCCACCTCTCCCAGGAACGGAGCAGGCTGGGGCTGTTGGATTCCCCCCAGTCCTCAGCCCAATTTGTATCATCACTGTCCTGCATCGCTGGCTCTGTGGTGACCAAGAGCCTGCGGGATGTCACCTTTCCCCTGCTGGGAGATGCTCTGCTCGAGCCCTGGCTGCGGGCAGCTGCTGGGCGGGTGGATGGGTGTTTGCTGCCTGGCAGGGAGGGTGGCACACAGGGAGGGATGTTTTGCAAGCTCTACACAAAGGCAGAAGGGGGAGGGGGGTACCTGGTTGCTCCTTATCTGTGCAGCCCTGTGTCCTTTGCCCTCGTTTTGTGTCTGACTCAGTAGTAAGTTGCAAGTCGAGCCTTGCTGGTTGAGCCTGCGGGAACCGGCATGTCAAGTCTCCTGTGCAGGCTTTGGCTGAGACCTGGCAGCATTTGCAAAAGGTCTGTCCCATGATGAGACATGGGGAGAGCTGCACGGGGGGATCAGGTTTCATCAATTGCATTGCTAAAGATCTGCAGGGACCCAGCCTGCCCAGGAGGTGTTTCCCAAGCTCATAGGGCATCAACTGTAGGCTGCTGCTCCCCCAGGGGCCCTGGGACGTCCCTCTCAGGTGGGTGGTGCAGGAAAAGGCTCATCCTGGCATGGAATGAGACCACGGCCAGGCTGGGGAAGCATTCCCAAGTCCTGCTGTGGAGGTGGAGGGGACAGGTGCGTAGTCATCCTCAGGAAGGGGCAGCTCACACAGCCTGCGTTGCGGGACCACACGGCCCTGGCTAGCCCTTGACCCAGGCACCCTGCCCCACTCATGGCCTCCCTGCTCCCTCCCAGGTGAGATTGTGGTGAAGTGGTTTGAAGCCATCCAGACGGGGCTGCCCATGTGTGTCTTGGGAGCAGCGTTCGGGCCCATTCGCCTCAGCGCACGGTACGTTCTCTGCCCTGGGGACACACCAGCCTGGGTGATGCTTTCCGTTGTCCTCTGGGGATGAAGATGGGACACTGCTAGTTTTCAGGGGGGAGGCAGCCAGGGATTCCTCCTGTGAACCTCATTCCCCATGGCCTAGGGAAGCGGTGACAGTGGGAGGCATGGCTTTGCCTGATCACTGAATCAGAACCTGATGCTTCGTCTGCTTCCAGCACTGAATCTCCTGTGACAGACAGGAGGAGCAATGTCCAGGCCTGGCTGCACTTGGCTGGGCACATGTTGAGGGCCAGCGGGACCCTCACCACACTGGTGGCTGTTCCCTGCCCCAGCACATC